TTTGCTTCTTTCTTTCTTTCTTTTCTTTTCTTTTCTTCGTTCCGCCATTTTTCATTCTTTTCTTTCCTTCTTTCTTTCATTCCTTCGTTCTTTCTTTCTTTCTTTCTTTCTTTTATCCTCTGTTTCTTTTCTTTTTTCCCTTTCTTTCCTTCATTATTTCTTTCATTCGTTCGTTCTTTTCTTCTGATTTTCTCTCTTTCCTTCTTTTTCGTTCAATAATTTCTTTCCTTTTTTCTTTCTTTTTTAACTTTCTCCAGTTCTTTGTTTCTTACGTTATACTTTGTTTCCGACATGCTTTCATTCAGTCTATTTATTTCAGTCTACTTAGTTTCTTTCGTTCCTTTATTCTTTCTTTCTATTCTTTAGTTTTCTTTCTTTCTCTCCTTTATTCTTACTTACAGTCCTTCATCCTTTCTCTCTTCCTTTTGCCCTAATCATTTCTTTCTTTCTGTAGTCGGTGACCGTCCTTACTTTCTTTGTTTCTTTGTTTCTTTCTTTTTTTCTTTCTTTCTTTCTTTAGCCTGTCATTGTCCTTACTTTCTTTCTGTCTTCCTTTCTATCTTTCTTTCTGTCTTCCTTTTTTTTTCTTTCTTTCTTTCTGTGTCCTTTTTATTCTAATTACAAACATCAGCCACCTTGCTATATCTTTTCCCGCTTCTTTCTTTGCAATCTAAAGTAAATGGTCCATTATTTTTCTATGGAAATGTCAGAGTCTGTAATGTTTTTGGTTTTAATTTAATTTAATATAATTTGATTTGCAAAAAAAAAAAAAAAATTCGTAAGTGACTAACATGTCTACACAATGAACAATAACCTGTTCCGTGGCAAAAGCTCCTGGTGGCGCCAGGGGTGGCAGTACCGCCTAAGCCACCAAAAATTTGTTACCTCCCCTTGCACGTTGTATTTAGGGGGAAAAAAGAATTTTTTTTTTATTAACGAAATATTACGTCAAAATAAGTATTCTTTTCTTTCATTGTTTCTCTCTTTAATTCTTTATTTCGTTCGACATTTTACCATCTTTCTTTCCAGTCTCTCTTACTTCAGCTGCTCTCCGCTCTTCTTGCTTTCTTTCTTTTTCTCTTTACTTTTCTTTTTTTCTTTCTTTCTTTCTTTCTTTCTTTCTTTCTTTTCTTTCTTTCTTTTCATATTTCCATTCTTTCTTTCTTTCTTTCTTTCTTTCTTTCTTTCTGTTCGGTTTCTTTTTCTTTCCACTAGCTCTCCTTTGGCTGACTTTTTTTCTATCCTTTTCTTTTCTTTTCTTTCTTTTTTCTTTCTTTCCTTCTTTCTTTCTTTCTTCTTTCTTTCTTTCTTTCTTTCTTTTCTTTCTTTCTTTTCATTTTTTTTCTTTCTTTCTTTCTTTCTTTCTTTTTTTTCTTTTTTTCTTTTCATTCTTTCTTTCTTTTCTTTCTTCCTTTTTTTCTTTTTTTCTTTCTTTTCGGTTTTTTCTTTCTTTCTTTCTTTTTTTTCTTTCTTTCTTTCTTTCTTTCTTTCTTTCTTTCTTTCTTTCTTTTCTTTTTTCTTTTCTTTTTTCTTTCTTTCTTTTTTCTTTTTTTTTTTTTCTTTCTTTTCGGTTTCTTTCTTTTTTCTTTCTTTCTTCCTTTTTTTTTTTTTTCCTTTTCTTTTTTCTTTCTTTTTTTTTCTTTCTTTCTTTTTTTCTTTCTTTCTTTCTTTCTTTCTTTCTTTCTTTCTTTCTTTTTTTTCTTTTTTTTTCTTTTTTTCTTTCTTTCTTTCTTTCTTTCTTTCTTTCTTTTTTCTTTCTTTCTTTTTTTCTTCCTTTTTTCGATTTTTTTTTCCTTTTTTTTTCTTTCTTTTCTTTCTTTTTCTTTCTTTCTTTCTTTCTTTCTTTCTTTCTTTCTTTCTTTCTTTCTTTCTGTCTTTCTTTTCTTTCTTTCTTTTCATATTTCCATTCTTTCTTTCTTTCTTTCTTTCTTTCTTTCTGTTCGGTTCAACTTCTTTCTTTCCACTAGCTCTCCTTTTCTTTCTTTTTTCTATCCTTTTCTTTCTTTCCTTTCTTTTTTTTTCTTTCTTTTCTTTCTTTCTTTCTTTCTTTCTTTCTTTCTTTCTTTCTTTTTTCTTTTTTCTTTTTTTCTTTCTTTTTTTCTTTCTTTCTTTCTTTCTTTCTTTCTTTCTTTCTTTCTTTCTGTTCGGTTCAACTTCTTTCTTTCCACTAGCTCTCCTTTGGCTGACGATTTTTCTATCCTTTTCTTTCTTTCCTTTCTTTCTTTTTCTTTCTTTCTTTCTTTCTTTCTTTTTTTTTTTTTAGTTTCTCTTTCCTCTGTTGTCCATCATCTTTTTTGTCTGCCTGTTCGGTTCGACTTTCTTTTCACTTTCTCTTCTTTTTTATCTTTGCCTTTTTCCTTTTCTTTCTTTCTTTCTTTCTTTCTTTCTTTTTATCTTCCCATTCTTTCTTTTCATCTTCACATTCTTTCTTTCTTTCTTTCTTTCTTTCTTTCTTTCTTTCTGTTCGGTTCAACTTCTTTCTTTTCACTAGCTCTCCTTTGGCTGACCATTTTTCTTTCCTTTTCTTACCTTTCCTTTCTTTCTTTTTTCTTTTCTTTTTCTCCTACTTCCTTCCTTCCTTCCTTCCTTCCTTCCTTCCTTCCTTCCTTCCTTTTCTTTCTTTCTTTCCCTTTTATTACCATATAGGCTTTCTTTTTATCAATAAAACCCAACAGTATCTTTAATAATCATTTTCTTCCATGATCAAAAGCGAAATGGTGTATTATTTATTTCGGAAACTATCAGAGCGAAACGCACATGCGAAGTGGGAGAGGACGAGGATTTCTCAAAAGCCATTCATATCAAATTATATACATATATGTAATTTCTAAATAATTAATAGATTTATTTATCACCCGACATTTTTAATTCTTCAGACGTTATTATAATGCATAGTTTGTCTATGGCCTTCACATTCGAGAAACATTTCATTTTCTGTACTTAAATTTTACGCTATTTAAATTATTCGGATTGTTGTTTTCATTTCCCTTGCCATATTCACAACTTTTCGGTCGTTGTACACTCCGGCCTTCTTCAGGTGTTTGGAAATTCGAACCGAATCGTTTATTTCTCCCACCGGAGTAGAATGTTCTAGTTCCACGTGTCATGCCTCCCCCTCAAGGACACATGGCCCAGTGGTTAGATCCAGAGACTAGACCTAAAGCGTTGTGAACAGCAGTAGTGAACCAAAACTTGGAGAGTTGAATTAAAGGCAAATAACTGTGACATCCAGAAGAGGCATGTCCCGTGGAACTAGAACAATCTACCCCGGTAGATCAAATAAATGGTTCGAACGAAATTCCAAACACCTGAAGAAGGCCGGAGGATACAACGGTCGAAACGTAGTGAATAAGGCAATGAAGATGAGGATGAAATCAATAACGACTGAGAGTGAGGTTCTCCTTATTTTGGCCTTGTGCCACATCTAAGCTATACTTAGTATATCGGGGCCCTTCGACAGGTTTTTCTTTACAGTCAAGGTAGAGGTTTACAGTAGGAGGTCATTTGTGTGTATAGCTGAGGGGGACAGCGGTTAACCCTAGACTTGAACAGGTTAAGATTGTAGTGATCAGGGAAGCATCCTCTTGGGAGTCGGTTCCAGAAAGCAGGCAGAGGGATACAGAGTAAGAAGCAGAGTGTATTAGGATAAATGAGGAAGATAACTTTTAACCCTAGACTTGAAAGATAAAAGATAGCAAAGGTACTTACAAGAGCAGCAAAGGGATTGTACCTGCATCCTTAGCAACGGATCGTATGTACGAGTCCCACTTGAGGTCGGGTGTGAGTTTGACGCTGAACAGTCTTTCAAAGCACAGTGCTTCCCCGAGAGGACCCCCGTTCTTCTTGATTGGCGTTAGTCCGGAATCAGATCAGCAATGATGGAATATGTTACCAAGCTTGTCAGCTCAATTGCGACCTCCTAGTAAGTTCAATCCTGATTCGGTACTCCAATCTGTCGGCATTGTGTCATATCTAAGGTACGCATAGTAAGTCACTATATATATATATATATATATATATATATATATACAAAAAGAATAATATATTCTTTAGAAAAAAAGTAACATTTGTCACTTCAGGCCGTTCGTTTTATTGCTTCTCCAAAGAATTCGACATTAAATTCCTGATAGATTAATATGTTTCTGCTTTGGAGTTCCTTCGTGAATGATTCTTTCTGTTCAAAGATGGATGTCTTTAAGAGAACAACATTCTGGATCTTGTCAAAGAATTCCACGTGTCGCAGAATGATCTATAGAAATGTCGAATGTCTATTTGTACAACCGACCTTTCTCGAACTGACCGAATCTCGGATCCATTTTCATTGCCGTCTTCCCTGATTGGATATTTGTCTTCCCATCGGATCTGGAGAAAGTCACACACGTTCTATTTTGACTCGAATCGAAGGGAAAAAGACATTTGTCTTTCTACTCCAATTTTTCGGGCTTACATCCATATCCCGTTGAAATATCAGCTACCATACAATCACCATAGTTAAGCAACGTCGAGTATGGTCAGTACCCAGATGGGAGACCGCTTGTGAAAACCAGGTGCTGTAAGCTTGGATGTTCCGTGGTTTAATGGGTCTGCGGCCATAAACCATTGAATCACCAGCTCCCGTACAATCACCATAGTTAAGCAACGTCGAGTATGGACAGTAACTAAATGGGGGACTGCTTGGGGAAACCAGATGTTGTAAACTTGGGTGTGTTTGTGGTGTAATGAGTCTGCAGCTATATCACGTCTAAACACTAGCTCCTGTACAATCACCAAAGTTAAGCAACGTCGTGTCTGCACAGTACCTAAATGGGCGACTGCATGGGAGTACGAGTTGCTGTAATCTTGGATGGATGAAGGGAAGGGTGTTATAATGGCCATATCACATTGAAACACCGCTTCCCGTACGATCACTTAGGTTAAGCAATATCGAATCTGGTCAATACCTAAATGGGTGACGGTTTGAGAATTCCACTTTCTGTAAGTTTAAATGGCTGAATGGATGCTTACGACCATATCACGTCTAAACACTAGATCCCGTACGATCACCAAAGTTAAGCAACGTCGTGTCTGAACTACCTAGATGGGTGACCGCATGGGAGTATGAGTTGCTGCAATCTTGGATGAATGAAGGGAAGGATGGTATAATGGTTTGAGAATTCCACTTTCTGTAAGCTTACGGCCATATCACGTTGAAACACCGGTTCACGTACGATCGACGAAGTTAAGCAACGCCGAATCTGGTCAATACCTAGATGGGTGACTGCTTCAGAATGCCAGGTGCTGTAAAGATGGGTGGGAGGTAAAATGGACTTCCTGTCATATCACGTTGAAACACGATTCCCGTAATGTCACCGAAGTTAAGCAACGTCAAGCCTGGTCAGTACCTAGATGAGTTTACCACTTGGTAATACCCGGTGCTGTAAGCTTGGACGTGCTTATGGTAAAATGGGCTTAAGTCAAAATCACGTTGGACCCGAAGTTAAGCAACGTCAAGTCTGGTCAGTACCTAGATGAGTTTACCACTTGGTAATACCCAGGTGCTGTAAGCTTGGACGTGCGTATGGTATAAACAAAGTCAAAATCACGTTGGACCCGAAGTTAAGCAACGTCAAGCCTGGTCAGTACTAAGATGGGGAGTTTACCACTTGGTAATACCCGGTGCTGTAAGCTTGGATCTGCGTATGGTATAATGGGCTTAAGTCAAAATCACGTTGGACCCAAAAGTTAAGCAACGTCAAGCCTGGTCAGTACCTAGATGAGTTTACCACTTGGTAATACCCAGGTGCTGTAAGCTTGGACGTGCTTATGTTAAAATTACGTTAAGTCAAAATCACGTTGGACCCGAAGTTAAGCAACGTCAAGTCTGGTCAGTACCTAGATGAGCTTACCACTTGGTAATACCCGGTGCTGTAAGCTTGGACGTGCTTATGGTAAAATATCTACATTTAAGTCAAAATCACGTTGGACCCGAAGTTAAGCAACGTCAAGTCTGGTCAGTACCTAGATGTGTTTACCACTTGGTAATACTCCAGGTGCTGTAAGCTTGGACGTGCGTTGGAATAATGGGCTTAAGTCAAAATCACGTTGGACCCGAAGTTAAGCAACGTCAAGCCTGGTCAGTACCTAGATGAGTTTACCACTTGGTAATACCCGGTGCTGTAAGCTTGGACGTGCGTATGGTATAATGGGCTTAAGTCAAAATCACGTTGGACCCGAAGTTAAGCAACGTCAAGCCTGGTCAGTACCTAGATGAGTTTACCACTTGGTAATACCCAGGTGCTGTAAGCTTGGACGTGCTTATGGTAAAATATCTGGGTTGAAAATCCGGTTTCAAAATCACGTTGGACCTGAAAGTTAAGCAACGTCAAAGTCTGGTCAGTACCTAGATGGGCTTACTTGGGTGTTGGTAATACCCGGTGCTGTAAGCTTGGACGTGCTTATGGTAAAATGAAAAGCCGGTCAAAATCACGTTGGACCCGAAGTTAAGCAACGTCAAGTCTGGTCAGTACCTAAGATGGGGACCACTTGGTAATACCCGGTGCTGTAAGCTTGGACGTGCGTATGGCTTAAATCTACATTAAGTTCAAAATCACGTTGGACCCGAAGTTAAGCAACGTCAAGTCTGGTCAGTACCTAAGATGAGCTTACCACTTGGTAATACCGGTGCTGTAAGCTTGGACGTGCGTATGGCTTGGTATAATGGGTTTAAGTCAAAATCACGTTGGACCCGAAGTTAAGCAACGTCAAACCTGGTCAGTACCTAGATGGGGGACCACTTGGTAATACCCAGGTGCTGTAAGCTTGGACGTGCTTATGGTACATTGGGTTGAAAAGTCAAAATCACGTTGGACCCGAAGTTAAGCAACGTCAAGTCTGGTCAGTACCTAAGATGGGTTTACCACTTGGTAATACCCAGGTGCTGTAAGCTTGGATATGCTTATGGTAAAATGGGCTTAAGTCAAAATCACGATGGACCGAAGTTAAGCAACGTCAAACCTGGTCAGTACTAAGATGGGGACCACTTGGTAATACCCGGTGCTGTAAGCTTGGACGTGCTCCATGGTGGCTTTATAATACATTACGTTGAAAATCACGGTTGGACCCGAAGTTACCAAAAGTTAAGCAACGTCAAGTCTGGTCAGTACCTAGATGGGGGACCACTTGGTAATACCCGGTGCTGTAAGCTTGGACGTGCTACATTATGTTATAATGGGCTTAAGTTCAAAATCACGTTGGACCCGAAGTTAAGCAACGTCAAACCTGGTCAGTACTAAGATGGGGGGTTTTGGGTGTTGGTTGGAAGTGCTCCAGCTTGGACGTGCTACATTGGTATAATGGGCTTAAGTTCAAAATTACGTTGGACCCGAAGTTAAGCAACGTCAAACCTGGTCAGTACTAAGATGGGGGACCACTTGGTAATATCCGGTGCTGTAAGCTTGGACGTGCTTATGGTATATCTACATTAAGTTCAAAATCCGTTGGACCCAAAGTTAAGCAACGTCAAGTCTGGTCAGTACCTAAGATGGGGACCACTTGGGGTAATACCCAGGTGCTGTAAGCTTGGACGTTATATGGTACAAATGGGTTGAAAATCAAAATCACGTTGGACCCGAAGTTAAGCAACGTCAAGTCTGGTCAGTACCTAAGATGGGTTTACCACTTGGTAATAACCAGGTGCTGTAAGCTTGGACGTGGATATGGTATAATGGATTTAAGTCAAAATCACGTTATTGTCGAAGTTAAGCAACGTCACACCTTCAATAAAAGACATTAGCAACGTGCTTGTTTTTCCGGTGGTATCATTACGTTGAAAAATGGGTTCAAAATCCGTTACCAAAGTTAAGCAACGTCAAGTCTGGTGCTGGGGTAATACCCGGTGTTGGTGTTGACGTGCTTACAGCTATGGCTTATATAAAATGGGTTAAGTCAAAATCCGGTTGGACCCGAAGTTAAGCAACGTCAAACCTGGTCAGTACTAAGATTGGGGACCACTTGGGTGTACCCGGTGCTGTCCAGCTTGGACGTTATATCTATAATGGGCTTGAAAGTCAAAATCAAAATTGGACCCAAAGTTAAGCAACGTCAAGTCTGGTCAGTACCTAGATGGGGACCACTTGGTAATACCCAGGTGCTGTAAGCTTGGATGTGGACGTGCAGTATGGCTTATAATGGGCGTTGAAAAATCACGTTGGATTACCAAAGTTAAGCAACGTCAAACCTGGTCAGTACCTAAGATGGATTTACCACTTGTTAATACCCGGTGCTGCTTGGTTGGACGTGCAGTTATGGTATAATGGGCTTAAGTCAAAATCACGTTGGACCCGAAGTTAACAACGTCAAGCCTGGTCAGTAGAGAGATGAGTTTACCACTTGGTAATACCCGGTGCTGTAAGCTTGGACGTGCGTATGGTATAATGGGATAAGTCAAAATCACGTTGGACCCGAAGTTAAGCAACGTCAAGTCTGGTCAGTACCTAGATGAGTTAACCACTTGGTAATACCAGGTGCTGTAAGCTTGGACGTGCGTATAGTATGGTATAATATCAATTACGTTCAAAATCACGTTGGACCCGAAGTTAAAGCAACGTCAAGTCTGGTCAGTACCTAAGATGAGGGACCACTTTGGTTAATACCCAGGTGTGCTAAGTTGGACGTGCTTATGGTAAAATGGGCTTAAGTCAAAATCACGTTGGACCCGAAGTTAAGCAACGTCAAGTCTGGTCAGTACCTAGATGAGTTTACCACTTGGTAATACCCGGTGCTGTAAGCTTGGACGTGCGTATGGTATAATGGGCTTAAGTTCAAAATCACGTTGGACCAAAGTTAAGCAACGTCAAGTCTGGTCAGTACCTAAGATGGGTTAACCACTTGGTAAATAACCCAGTAGTGCTGTAAGCTTGGACGTGCTTATCTAAATTACGTTGAAAAGTCAAAATCACTTTGGACCCGAAGTTAAGCAACGTCAAGTCTGGTCAGTACCTAGATGGGTTTACCACTTGGGGTAATACCCAGGTGCTGTAAGCTATGGATCTACATTATGGTAAAAATTTTAAGTCAAAATCTTACGTTGGACCTAAAGTTAAGCAACGTCAAACCTGGTCAGTACCTAAGATGGTTTACCACTTGGTAATGGAAGTGGTGCTGCTATGGCTTGGACGCCATTATGTTGAAATGGCAGGTTCAAAATCACGATGGACCCGAAGTTAAGCAACGTCAAACCTGGTCAGTACCTAAAGATGGGGACCACTTGGTAATACCCGGTGCTGTAAGCTTGGACGTGCGTATGGTATAATATCTATTAAGTCAAAATCACGTTGGACCTGAAGTTAAGCAACGTCAAGTCTGGTCGTACCTAGATGGGTTTACCACTTGGTAATACCCGGTGCTGTATTTTGGACGTGCGTATGGTATAATGGGCTTAAGTCAAAATCACGTTGGACCCGAAGTTAAGCAACGTCAAACCTGGTCAGTACCTAGATGGGTTTACCACTTGGTAATACCCGGTGCTGTAAGCTTGGACGTGCGTATGGTATAATGGGCTTAAGTCAAAATCACGTTGGACCCGAAGTTAAATAACGTCAAACCTGATCAGTCTAGATGGTCGGATACTTGGTACCAGATAAAGCTTACCACTTGGTTGGAAACCAACGGTGCTGGTCAGTACTAAGATGCTTGGACCCGGTGCTTGGTATGCTTATGGTATAATGGGCTTAAGTCAAAATCACGTTGGACCCGAAGGTAAGCAACGTCAAGCCTGATCAGTACCTAGATGAGTTTACCACTTGGTAATACCCGGTGCTGTAAGCTTGGACGTGCGTATGGTATAATGGGCTTAAGTCAAAATCACGTTGGACCCGAAGTTAAGCAACGTCAAGTCTGGTCAGTACCTAGATGAGCTTACCACTTGGTAATACCCGGTGCTGTAAGCTTGGACGTGCGTATGGTATAATGGGCTTAAGTCAAAATCACGTTGGACCCGAAGGTAAGCAACGTCAAGCCTGATCAGTACCTAGATGAGTTTACCACTTGGTAATACCCGGTGCTGTAAGCTTGGACGTGCTTATGGTATAATGGGCTTAAGTCAATTTTCACGTTGGACCCGAAGTTAAGCAACGTCAAGCCTGGTCAGTACCTAAGATGAGTTTACCACTTGGTAATACCCGGTGCTGTAAGCTTGGACGTGCGTATGGTATAATGGGCTTAAGTCAAAATTACGTTGGACCCGAAGTTGGGGCAACGTCAAACCCTGGTCAATACTAAGATGAGTTTACCACTTGGTAATACCCGGTGCTGTAAGCTTGGACGTGCTTATGGTATAATGGGCTTAAGTCAAAATCACGTTGGACCCGAAGTTAAGCAACGTCAAGCCTGGTCAGTACCTAGATGAGTTTACCACTTGGTAATACCCCGTGCTGTAAGCTTGGACGTGCGTATGGTATAATGGGCTTAAGTCAAAATCACGTTGGACCCGAAGTTAAGCAACGTCAAGTCTGGTCAGTACCTAGATGAGTTTACCACTTGGTAATACCCGGTGCTGTAAGCTTGGACGTGCTTATGGTATAATGGGCTTACGTCAAAATCACGTTAGACCCGAAGTTAAGCAACGTCAAGCCTGGTCAGTACCTAGATGAGTTTACCACTTGGTAATACCCGCTGCTGTAAGCTTGGATGTGCGTATGGTATAATGGGCTTAAGTCAAAATCACTTTGGACCCGAAGTTAAGCAGTGTCATGTCTAGTCAGTACTTAGATGTGTGACTGCTTGGGTAAACCAGCTATTTGCATGTGGGAAATGGATAATGGCTTTGAATTGTTAATCGGAGTGGCGAGTTCAAATCCAGCTGTGTTTGTGATAATCACTTACACTTACAACCAAATACGCCCCCCAACCAGCAATAAGTAAATCTTGTATCCTCAAAACGTCATTATCTCCACTAAAAAAAAGAATTCTTCTAATGTAAAAATTATTTTCTGGTTTTAAATAACCTGAAAACGGTTGATAAACCGTAAAAAACAAATCAGTCTGTTCTTCTCATCTTTGTTGACATATTCACGACGTTTCGGCTGCTGTACGATCCGGCCTTCTTCAGGATCTGTCTATATTCCTGAGATGAGATATTGCAATTATTTACATTCATTTATTTAATTATTTACTATTTACATTGTTCGAACTGTTGTCTCCATCCTTATTGCCGTATTCACGACGTTTCGAACGTTGTACGCTCCAACCTTCTTCAGGGTCGGTCTATTTTTCTGAGATGAGATGTTTTAATTATTTGCACTATTTACATTGCTCGCATTGTTATCCTCATTTTTGTTGCCATATTCACGACGTTTCGGTCGTTATACGTTCTGGTCTTCTTCAGGATCTGTCTATATTTCTGAAATGAGGTATTGCAATTATTTACACTATTTACACTGTTCGGACTGTTGTTTCCATGTTTATTGCCATATTCACGACGTTTCGGTCGTTGTACGATCCGGCTTTCTTCAGGATCTGTCTATTTTTCTGAGATGAGATATTGTAACCATTTAAACTATTTACATTGTTCGGACTGTTGTCCTGATCTTTGTTGCTTATTCAATCGAGACTGTGTCTGTTCGACAGTTTGTCCTTCAAAAATTTAACATGCAACATCAACCGCCATATTCTGTTGTTTTGAACCCTGTTCATCTTTTATCCTTTACTAAATCCCCCTACATACAGTTTTTTCTCGCACTTTCACTCTCTCTAAACCAACTACGTACTACATGCATTCCGGTCTTGCTTGGGATGAAATGCTTAAAAAAATATATATATATATATATATATATATATATATATATATATATATATAAACAAATATCAACACATGAGAATAAAAATGGGGAATGTTTGGGGATAAGGTCCATGAAACATCGAATGCTTTCATTCTATGCCCGGCTTTTATATATATATATATATATTTATTTTTTCATCGACATTCTCGGATATTTACTATTGCCTTTGTTCTTGACACGAATGTTTCAGGCTTTGTTCTTTGTTAATATCCTTTTTTTTTTAATCCTGCAAATTCTTTTAGGGTTTCATCCCTTCATCTTGTCATTTGATTTACTTTTTCGGTGTTTCGCTTATTCGATATGGATTTTTGCTCTCTTGGAATATTTCATTTTTTTTTTTACTTTCGCGTAATGGTATCCACACATTCATACACACAAATACACACATACACGCACAAAGCACGTACATATAAATATCAACTCATGTCTATCACTATTAGCATGTATATTATAGTTTCTACATATCTATCTATCTATCTATCTAGCTATCTATCTCCTCACTTCATTATCTATCTATCTATCTATCTACCTATCTATCTCAGCCTATCTATCTGTTTTTAGAACCGATCTACTGTATTTTTATATCTATCTATCTATCTATTTATCTATCTATCTATCTATCTGTTCATTATATATATACCTTACTATGTAACTATTTGTTCAGATCTATCTATCTATCTATCTATCTATCTATCTATCTATCTATCTGCCAGTGTATGTTTGTTTAGAATCTATCTATCTATCTATCTATCTATCTATCTATCTATCTATCTATCAGTTTTTAGAACTTATCTATCTATCTATCTATCTATCTATCTATCTATCTATCTATCTGTTTTTAGAACCGACCTACCTTATTTTTATATCTATCTGTTCATTATATATATACCTTACTATGTAACTTTTTGTTCAGATCTCTCTATCTATCTATCTAACTATCTATCGTATTTTCATATTTATCTATCTACCCGTCTATGTATGTATGTTTGTTTAGAATCTCTCTCTCTCCCAAGCTCGCTCTCTCTCTCTCTATCTCTATCTCAGCCTGCTACTTATCTACCCATCCCAATTTCCTCATATCTATCTATCTATCTATCTATCTATCTATCTATCTATCTATCTATCTATCTGTTCATATATCTATCAGTCTGTTCATTATCTATCTATTTATTCACATCTGCTATATCTATTTAACTGATCACATCTATCTATCAATTTTCTCATTATCTATCTATCTATCTATCTATCTATCTATCAGAACGTGTTTATTATCTATCTCTCTATCTATCTATTTATCAGAACATGTTTATTAAGTATCTATCTATCTATCTATCTATCTATCTATCTATCTATCTATCTATGTCTGTTTAGAACCTATCTATCGTATTTTCGTATCTATCTATCTACCCGTCTATGTATGTATGTTTATTTAGAATCTCTCTCTCCCTCAAGCTCTCTCTCTATATATCTCAGTCTGTTCCGTATTTATCTATCTATCCCAATTTTCTCATATCTATCTATCTATCTATCTATCTATCTATCTATCTATCTATCGCAACTTCTTATCTGTCTATCTCTCTATCTATCTATCTATCTATCTCAGTCAGGTTATATCTATCTATCTATCTATCTATCTATCTATCTATCTATCTATCACATTCTGTTTCTTTCTTTCTTTGTCAGCTACTATCTATATATCTATTTATCTATACCAGTTTTATCTATCTATGACACTCTCTTTCTTTCTTTCTTTCTTTCTTTCTTTATTTCTCAGCTACTATCTATCTATCTATCTATCTATCTATCTATCTATCTATCTATCTATCTATCTATCTATTCCAGTATGTTCAAATCATGAGCCAAAGATTTTTTTCCTTCCTTCGTCTTTCGTTCAAAATTTTCATCTCAGTATTTTATTTTTTACCTCTTTCCCAACTGTCTTTAATTGATTTCGTTTTTAGCAAATTCTCTCTCATTTGCATTGCTTTTCTTTCATTCCCCATTTTGAACCAAAATATTTTTTTTTCTTTTCTACTTTCTTCTCTCACCGTGCCATTAACTGGTTTCGCTTATTTCTTTCCTATATTTTCGAAAGCCTCACAAAATCGCCATACTTGTTTTCCAAGAGAAATGCTGCTTTTTTCAGAATACACTTTCGCTGATTTTTTCAGCTCCGTTGTCTTCGGTTTTATGTGCCAGCCGATGGAGAAAGAAAGAAATTTAGGCGAAAGAATAAAAAAGAAATAATTTTGATTAAACTGAGAAAAGAGACCTGAAAAAAAAGATGTTTTGAATGAAAAAGATTAAAGAAAAGACAGAATGACGTCAATCAAATGAATGAAAAGAAAGAAAGAAGAAGAAGTAATGAAAGGAAAGAAAGAAAGAAAGAAAGAAAGAAAGAAGAAGAAATGAAAGCAATCAGTAATGAAAGGAAAGAAAGAAAGAAAGAAAGAAAGAAAAAAAAAGAAAGCATTTCGTTAAACATTAAAAAAATAAAGAAAGAAATTTTTTTTGAATTATTTTTGACATTTCAATTTAATACATCTTTCAGAGACAAAAACAAACGGAAACAAAAAATCTTAAATATACTTATATTTTTTTTATATAAAGGATCTGTTTTTGTTTTTAGTTTGTTTATAAAATACTTAATTGAGGAAATAAAAGTTTGTTAATTAAGTTGGCATAACTTCATTTAGAACATTGTAAAAATATCTTTTTATTTGAATTTTTAAAAAATTTTTTAAATTAAAAACTTTAGAAAAGAAAAAATTTTTAAAAATTAAAAAAAATGATTGATATTTTCAATCAAATAAAGAATTATTTAAATTCAGGGTTAAAAAAATTTTTAAAAGTTTCTTTTCATGTTATTTTTTTTTATATTAAATCATTTATTTTAACAAACCATTTATAGCCGAAAATTTTTTTCTTTCCTTTACATATTTCTTTATTTAAAATGTCTTAGAAAATTTTAATTCAAAAATTTGTTTTATTTTTTTAAATAAAGTTTTTTTTCCGGAAGAATCTTTTTTCCGTTTCAATCACCTTTGAAATAAATATTTTTTCGAAAAATCTTTCTTTATATTTCTTAAAAGCAATTTTTTTTTTCAATTTTGAATCAAGAAAGTTTTTTCGCTTTTTTAAGAAAAAAGAAAGATAAAGAAGATTTTGCTTAAATTTTTTAAATTTTAAATTTAAATTTCTTTATTTTTCTATTTCTTCTTTTTATGTTAAAAAAAGAAAATGGAAAAAAAAATTCTTTGAAAAGAAATTTATATTTTTCTTTTTTTCTTTATTTTTCTTATCTTTCTAATTTTATTTCTTTCTTTCTTTTTTATCTCTTTTTTCTTTCTTTTTTTCTTTCTTTCTTTCTTTCTTTTTATGTCTTTCTTTTTTTTTCTACATTTTCTTTGTTTTTTTTTATCTAATTTTTTTTTTCTTTCTTTCTTTTTTTTTCTTTCTTTCTTTCTTTCTTTATTTTTTCTTTCTTTGGAATTTTCTTTCTTTTTTTTCTTTCTTTGAAACTATTTCCACCTTTTTTCTTATATTTCTTTTTTTCTTTCTTTATTTTTTTCTTTTCTTTCTTTCTTTCTTTCTTTCTTTCTTTCTTTCTTTCTTTCTTTCTTTTCTTTCTTTTTCTTTCCATCTTTTCTTTCTTTCTTTCTTTTTCTTTCTTTCTTTCTTTTTTTTTTTCTTTCTTTTCTTTCTTTTTTCTTTCTTTTTTCTTTTTTTTTTTTTTCTTTCTTTCTTTCTTTCTTTCTTTTTTTTTTTTTTTTCTTTTTTTCTTTTCTTTCTTTCTTTTTTTTTTTTTTCTTTGATTTCTTTCTTTCTTTTTTCTTTCTTTCTTTCTTTATTTTTCTTTCTTTCTTCTATTTTTTTCTTTCTTTCTTTCTTTTTTTTCTTTCTTTTTTTTCCACCTCCTTTCTTCTTTTTTTTTCTTTTTTCTTTTTTTCTTTCTTTCTTTTTTTTTTCTTTCTTTCTTTCTTTCTATCTATTTATTTTTCTTTCTTTTTTTTTTTTTTTCTTTTTTTCTTTTTTCCCTTTTTCTCTTTTTTTTTTCTTTCTTTTTATCTTTCTTTATTTTTTTTAAATTTTTTTTCTTTCTATCTTTTCTTTCTTTCTTTCTTTCTTTCTTTTTTCTTTCTTTTTTTTTCTTTCTCTTTCTTTCTTTCTTTCTTTTTTCTTTTTTCTTTTTTTTTTTTCTTTTTTTTTTTCTTTCTTTCTTTGTATCCTTTATTCTTCTTCTTTCTTATTTTTTTTTTTTCAACTTTCTTCCTCAATTTCTTTTCTTTCTTTCTTTTTTTATTTGTAGCAACTTCATTCTTTCCTTTTTCTTTTGCCCTTTCTCTCTATCTTTTTAGTTCTTTCTTTTTATTCAATTCTTTCTTTCATTTTTTTTATTCGCTTCTTTCTTTCTTTCATTCATTCTTTTTTTCTTTCTTTCTTTCTGTCTTTCTTTCTTGCTTGCTTATTATTATTTTTTATCTTTTTTTCCTTTCTTTCTTGAATCTTTCTTTTTCTCTCTCTTTCTCTCTTTCTCTTTTTTTTATTCTTTCTTTCTCTCTTTCTTTTCCTTTTATTCCTTACATCTTTCTCTCTCTCTTTTCCTTTTATTCCTTACTCTTTCTCTCTCTCTTTTCCTTTTTATTTTTACTCTTTCTCTCTCTCTTTTCCCTTTTATTCCTTCTCTTTTCTCATCTCTTTTCATTTTATTCCTTTCTCTCTCTTTTTCCTTTTATTCCTTAGTCTTTCTCTCTCTCTTTCTTTTTTTTTTTCTTTCTCTCTCTCTCTTTTCCTTTTTATTCCTTACTTTCTCTCTCTCTTTCTTTTTTTATTCCTTACTTTTTTTCTCTCTCTTTTTTCCTTTTATTCCTTATCTCTTTCTCTTTCCTTTTCCTTTTATTCCTTTTTCTTTTCTAATCTTTTCCTTTTATTCCTTTCTTTCTCTCTCTCTCTTTCATATTTTATTCCTTTTTCTCTCTCTCTCTTTTCCCTTTTATTCCTTACTCTTTCTCTCTCTCTTTTCCTTTTATTCCTTACTCTCTCTCTCTTTTCCTTTTATTCCTTAGTCTTTCTCTCTCTCTCTTTCCCTTTTATTCCTTACTCTTTCTCTCTCTCTTTTTCCCTTTTATTCCTTACTCTTTCTCTCTCTCTCTTTCCCTTTTATTCTTTACTCTTTCTCTCTCTCTCTTTCCCTTTTATTCCTTACTCTTTCTCTCTCTCTCTTTTCCTTTTATTCCTTACTCTTTCTCTCTCTCTCTCTGTCTCATTTGATGCACTTTCTTCTCAACCGTTTGAAACCTTTTTTATATTTCTGACATCATTATAAAGAGAGAGAATGGCCTTTGACGTTTGATTACTGTCTTTCTATTTCTTAGTCTAACTTGTATATATATATATATATATATATATATATATATATATATATATATATATATATATATATATATGTGTGTGTGTGTGTGTGTGTGTGTCCTCTCTCTATATCGGTATTTTTCTTCTTAGCCGTTCCCAACCTGTTTTCTGTTTCCGATGTCATTCTTGAGGCAGAGAATGGCCTTTGACGTGTGATTCCATTGCAATTTTTACCAATTTCTTTCTTACTCGCTTTTTTTCCATCCACTGCTTTAAAGAAATACAAAGCAGGGTAAAAAAAAACGTCAAATCAGGCACTCGAATGAATGCAGGACAAAACATTTGAAAGGTTTTCACGAAACAAAAAAAACAAAAAAACATCTTGAAAACAGACAAGAATTACTGTTTACTTTATTAGATTCTATCTGTCCTCCTCATTTAGGTTGAACGATAAACGACACCTGATAGAAAGGCCTCGGGTCACGATACTGGAGATCTTCAGGAGAGTGGAACCACCTCTTAATAGCTGTTGTTCCAAGGTTCAATCTGACCTGGGGTAGTAGCTGTTGCAGTTTTTTTGTGGATATGTATCTACTAGTGAGCTAGCCCAAATGACTTGACTCACTTTATAGTCCACCAATAGAAGGTTAACCAATCAGAAGACGTAGAATATTCAATCCGTCGTGTATAAAGGCGGCCATTTTGTTTACTCTATCCGAATGTCCAGTGCCAGCTTGTCAGGCGAAGAGGAACAGAAGGAAGAACTACGCTCTGCTACTTTTACCAAAATATCCACTGCTAACCTGAGCTACGCTTTCCTACTGTCTTCGAAATATTCACTGCTAACCTCTGGATTCTATACTCGAAGACGACCGTCATCATGAACAACAGTAGCATCTGATAGGGTCCCACCTATGGACAAATAATGAAACTCACAAACAAAAACAAAAAGTTTGAAAGTATAAAAAATATATATATAAAAAATTACATCTATATGTATGAAACAGAAGATGTCTGTTTGTATGTATGCTATATATGCATGTGCACATTTCACGACCGATTTTGATGAAATTGTACACATATGTTGCAAATTTATGATCTTAGGTCATGCTTTATATGCCAATCTCCAGACATCCAGGGGTTGGCAGAATTAACGATAAAACTGATGATGGGTACAAATTTAAAAAAAAAAAAAACGAGGCGGAGTTAAAAACGAAGAAAATTTTTACTAGATGAGCTGTTCTTACATTATTTCTAAATTTTAGCTCGTGTTACGTGGTTTATGTCTAGTGTTTGACGTCAGTTTTCCTGCGACAGCATGGGCTTCACTTAAAAAATTGAAAAAAAACTGTTTTTTGTTGTTCGGTTTTTTAAGTATGTTTATGTTAAAATAAAAACCTGAACAACTTCTGATCATTTTTATCCAATTTTTAAAAAGATTTTTAAAAAAATTGCCATTTTACAAGAAATAAAGATAGTTTTAGTCTGCTCACTTCCAAAATGTATAACGAAAAATCACGAAAATCTGTACAAAAACCAGTTTTCCGGTTTTTTCCCTAGTTTTTCATCCGATTTTTTTTTCAAATTTGCCATGTAAATTGCAAGTTTGCATTTACATACTTTTAGCCGTGAGTGAAATCCAATCGATTTGGCATCAGTCAAAGATTCTACCCCCAAGCCATCGTTACGAAATTACAGGAAAAGGTTTAATTTAAACCTTTTTCTATGTAAAAAGTCGTCAGAAGCTATTCTGCTCGATTCGAGTAGAAGAGCATTGTATTAGCAGGCGTCCAAGCACTGTTTATAAAATCACCTCCTGTTCTCTGAGAGCTCCATGAATTATTTTATATATTTATATATATATATATATATATATATATAAGATTTGGGAAAAAAGCACCTAATGTTTATATCTATTTCTGATATATGTATTTTTATAGGGAAATATTAAAATTAAGATTTTCAGTGGCTTTTTCCTAGGAAAATAATTAATTATTATTATTTTTTTTATTTTTATTTACTATAACCAGTGTGGCTTAAGTGTTTATATATTTCCGAGTTGACGTTTATGTTTTGAAGAAATTATAAAAAATGGAAAAAAATCAAGGGGCGTAATTAATTATATGTCGCTTATGGTAAGGAAAATTTGGTAGAATTTATTTATGCAATGAATTAAATTTGATTAACAAATATTTCTTTATTAATCCGCCTTTGTTCAGTGTTTCTGAATGGCAAGACACTAAACTTTGGTAGATTTTTTTTCCTCCGTATTTCTCTGTCTGTTAACTAATGGGTATTTTTCTGGTGTCGGGGTCCATAATTTGTTGACCATGAACTGTCAGCCTTTACCGGAGTGACAAGGCCGGTTTGGGCAGTGTAATGCTCATGGCATATTAAATCGAGAAATCATTTTGATCCGTCTTTGAAATGAAATTCGTGGCCCTCTATTTGATAGATGCATACTTCGCAAAAGGTTGGGTTGCATTTTTTTCACCTAAGGGCCTTTAATTCTGTGTTGCTGTTTTGCACACGTCAGTCACCTTTTTAGTGATTTTGGTTGTCGTTTACTTTTTATGATTGGGTATTTTTGTAATAGGCTTTTCATTTTTTCCTCTTTTAGTAGGATTGGTAGAATTAGTTGTATCTGTGTTTAGATTTCTATGTTCTTTGGGTTGAAAGTTATGATATAAGAGATTAACTTTTTTTCCTTTTCTCTCTCAGAGTGTGTGGATATTAATTTGTTTTGATTTTTCAGTACTATTTCTGATTGAAAACAATTGATTGTTCTCTCAGAATTTTATTTTCAACCTTTTCTCTTTTAGTCTGTTTTTCTTTTAATGTTTCGTTTGAGACCATTATACATTTTCGCTTGAATAAGGTTGAGTTTAATGTTGGTGTTTGATATGAATTGAGATGTAAAAATGAATTAGAATTGTCCAGAGTCAGAAGTTTAAAATGCTAAAGTTATTAGTTTAGTGAATATTTCTTATTATTAATATGTCTAAAAAGGAAGTCTTTTTTTTGCTGTGTTCCATAAAATTGGATGCTAGGATTTCTATTATTAATGGATGTTTGAAATGTCTTTAGTTTATCTATCAAGTTTTTCATTCCACAAGTGAAACAGTCATCTAAAAATATATTTTCCATTTAAAATTTTATGTCGCTGATAAAATAATATGATTATATAATATATATATATATAGATTTATATTGATAATATCCCATGACTGTGTGTTGGTGTGTGTTGATGTCAAACTTTGTTTTTATTTAAAAGTGTTTCAGATCTTTGCGGATAGGGTGTTTCTAATTGAACATACAAATAATTATGTTTTAAAATGAATTCTAGATGTTTCTATGATGAAATGTCCTTTGATACGATTTTGGTAACTCATGAAGAAACGTTTGAGTCCAGTATTTTATGGCCTCTATTCCGGAGTCATATAGGATGTTTCTATAGAAGTTCACAACATCCATTGGGACCATATAAGTATTATGGTTTATCTCGTTGGGAAGATGATTCAGAAAATCTAGATCATGTCAAATGAAGCTCTGAACGTGTTTGATAAGTTAGAGTGTGTCTTGAGATTGAATTTGTGAGTGTATCTATTTGACGAATTGCAAAACTTAGTGAGTGTGTCTGACGAATTACAAACTTTACCACAGACATCAGACATTGTCGAACCTTAAACTGTACACGGTGTTGTGGTTTAAGTTTGCTGGCCATGTCTGATAAGACCAGCTTTAGATATGCATCCCTCCGTCACAGATCTCAGTATTAAGTATTCTTTTAGTTCCAACAAATTCTTTTTACTTCCCTCCCTCAAACAAATTCCTTTTCTCTCAAAAACGTTTACATTGATGGCAGCTTTTTAACAGATTTTTGTTCCGCGTTTTCAAAAGTTTAACTTTCATTTTCGTCAATGGCTTTCTTTGAAACGGTCCTTATAAAGTTTACTAAAAACAAGTATTTGCCTCTCGCAGTTACGTCGTAGGATGCTTGTTTGGGTATCAGCAAGGCGGACCAACTGTCCAGACTGTCTGATCATAAACACAAAGCTTGAAATAACTCGGTGCCGGATTTTTCCCAAAGAATACATTTTGATAATCAATAATGAAACGTCGCTGTGTTTAGTTTTGAAATGGTTTTTGATAGATTTTTTGGGTTTTCACCACAAGCAAGGCAATAAAGCCACCAAGACGCGGCCGTGGAAGGATATGAGAAGAACGCATTATTAATGAGAGAGAAGAATAAACGAACAGGAATTAAGAAAACAGATGACGATTGACATTGCAATTCAATTTCTGAAGATCAAATTTAGCTGGGAAACAAGTGGCGGGATAAAAAATTCTACCTAACGTATTTTAAGTATATATAACGACAGTTATATAAATATATATATATTGATTATATATATATATATCTTATACTTATAAACATATTTATATATATATATATATATCTTATATATATATATATATGATAGATGGGATAATAGAATTTCAACAAATAATAGATAGATTAGATTAGATAATATTAGAAATTAAATATACATAATGTCATATGCAAAATATATAAATATAACAGGTCATTGATTAACACATGCATATATATTTTTTGGAATAATTTATCTGTTTGAGATAATATTTCCAGTAGCCGGACGGTAAAAAAACTCAATGCGCCAGGACAGACAAGGATATAAGTGGTTTATTTTATATATAATATTCCATGATTCACAATTATACGGACCGAAGAACAAAATACGATGAATTCCATAAGACCTGAAAATTCAAAAATTTCTGTTTTCTTTTGAATTTGTAGGTCTTATGGAATTGATCAAATTTTGACCTAAAAATATTTGCAAATGGAAAATCAGTGAATACATTAGATTTTATATTTTTTTTTTTTTTTTTTTTATATATATAATATATATATATATATATATATATATGAAGAAACATTTTAGTATTAAGATG